TTGTCTAATACGCCGATCTGCAAAATCCATGAGCACCTTGCCCCGAGATGTTGCCATTCAAAATTATTATGGTTTCAGGTTTCATGCATATGTATTGAGCTGAACCATTAACCCTCGCGGGCCCGCGCGGAAGGCGGGGGGGGGGGGGGGGGGCGTTTTTCGCCTCCCCTAGCGAATATTTGCGATACCTCACGAACGCTTAGGGATAGAAAGACGAAACTTGTTGTACCTTATGCCCCATTAATTTTACATCTTTTGAAGCAAAAAATTTGGACCTAGCCTCCTCGATAACGTCTCAGGACCGATTTCTCTAGGCAAACTTCGGCGCCACAGACGTGAACTTCAACCAGCTGCCAAAAATAGAGTTTTAGAGATAAAGACAAATTACGAGCACGGTTGTGTAGCATTTGACCCAGAAAAATATTTAACTAGCTTTAGTGACCTGAGGTCAGAGATCAGGTCAACGACCCCGAGCTGGGGCTTTATTTTTTTTCGCAAATAACTTCAACAAAAATGATGGTCCTAGAGCTACGGCAGTGGTACCTTCGCATTCGTCTCGTCGAGTCGCGTCGAATGACATATATATTGTTTGGAAAAGGTCAAGTTTTATGTTGACCTCATGTGACCTCGAATGACCTTTGGTTGACTTTAACACATGAAAGGTCGTTTGTGATTATTTCGTAGCCGCTGATCACGATTCTGGCATCCATTTTGCTCTAAGCATTCGTTTAGAGCCTCAGGATGGCAAAACGTGTCTTAATTATTATCCCGGCCGGGCCCGGGGGGTAATCCCAACCACCGCAGCCCGGGGGGGGGGGGCGTTTTTCGCCCCCCTGTATAACTCTGTAAATAAGGGAGGTACGGAAACAAAAGCGATACCAAACGAAAGGTCCTTACGAGACGATTCTAATGCACCTAAGATTTTTGACCTCAGGTCAATTTTCAAGGTCAGAGGTCAATGTCAAAGGCAAAAACCGCCACATGTGTAGTGATCTCAAAGTAATCCTTCTAAAGGACGGCAGGCTGCATCAAACCGGCAAAATTGGCTGTCAAACGAAAGAAGAGAATCTGAGGATTCTGAAAATGTGCTCAAAGTGAAAGGTCAAGGTCAAGGTCACGCTCAAAATTGACCTCAAACTTGGCACTTTTTCGCATATCTTGCGTGCTAACTTCCAAGATGTTTTGAAATGTTTTGAGGCTGATCAGTTCCCTATTTGTGGTTCATCTTACGATACAAGGCTGCTCAAAGGTCAAGGTCACAGAAGAGTATCCCTGCTAGAGGCTATTTCACTGATTCAAGTTAGTAATAATAAATAAGACAATTTTGCAATCCGGAAGCTCTAAATGAAGGCTTAGAGGAAAATAGATGCCAGATTCGTGATCAGCGGGTACAAATCCATCATAAACGACCTTTCATGTGTCAAGGTCAACCAGAGGTCATTCGAGGTCACATGAGGTCAACATAAAATTTGACCTTTTCCGAACAAAATATATATCATTCGACGCGGCTTGACAAGGCGAATGCGATGGTACCACTGCCGTAGCTCTAGGACCATTTTTGTCGAAGTTATTTGCGAAAAACTAAAACCACATTTCGGGGTCGTTGACCTGACCTCTGACCTCAGGTCACCAAAACTATTTTTCTATTTTTCTCTAGGTCAAACGCTACACAACCGTGCTCGTAATGTGTCTTTATTCTCTAAAACTCTATTTTTAGCAGCTATTTGAAGTTTGCGTCTGTGACGCCGAAGTTTACCGTGCAGGGGTCTAGAAAAATGGACCTTGTGACGTCATCAAGGGGGCTAGGTCCAAATTTTTTACTTCAGAAGATGTCAAATTGATGGGAGAAAAGGTACTGAAAGTTTCGCCTTCCTATCCCTAAGCGCTCGGATGCTATCGCAAATATTCGCCAGGGGGGGCGAAAAACGCCCCCCCCGGGCCCGCGAGGGTTATACCTGACTTGAATAAGTGAAAGAAAAAAAGTATAACAAAAAGTGCAAAGTTTGTGGTCAATTTTGAGCATGACCGTGACCTTGAATTTGAATGTTATGCACATCATGGGATTTCCGGACTCTCTTTTTTCGTTTAACATTTGCATTTTAGCCGGTTTTATGCACCATGCCGTCCTCTGGAACACGTACTTTGAGACCATTACAAAAGTGCCGATTTTTGCCTTTGACCTTGACTTCTGACCTTGAAAATTAGCCTGAGGTCAAAAAGTTTAGGTGCTTTAAGGATCTTCTCGTAGATATCTTTCATTTGGTACCGTTTTTGTTTTCGTAGCTGCCTTATTTACGGAGTTAGACAGGTGGGGGAGGGGGGCTACCCCCGGGCTGCGGTGGTTGGGATTGTTATGTGCGGACTTGTGGGTTTGATTCCGGCCACTCTAATCGCCCGAGGCACGGCCGGCCACCGGGGCTGACCGGTCGTCCCCTCCTGAGCCAATACAGTTGACCGACACGAGAGCTAGTGTGTGGACCGGGAGCCGGGGCGAATCGAACATGGCGCGGTCGCAGTGATACGCGAACCGATATGAGACACAGCTCTCTCATTTGACTCGGACTAATGTGATAAGTGTGATACGTGTCTACTTTGCTGCCGAGTGAAGCGTTTCAGTGTTTAACGTGTGACGATGTCGGACTGCGAGCAGGAGGAGCGAGACGCCAAGCCGCCGGGCGCGGCACCGGCGACTGAGACATCGACAGAGCTGCTGACTCGGCTTCTGGGGCAGCAGCTGGAGCTGGCGGCCAGGCGTGATGAGCAACTAACGATGCTTCTACAACACATCCAGCAGGGCGCGGCTGCCGGCGCCCGACCAGTCGACGGCAGCGGCGCGCTTGCGGCGGCGAGTGGCGGTTGCCCGCCCGCGGCGGCGGGTGGCGGCAGCGCGCCTACGGCGTCTGGCGGCGGCGGCGCGCCTGCGGCGACTGGCGGCGGGAGCGCACCTGCGGCGGCCGCGGTTACAGAGAGTGTCGCCGCCGCGGCGGCTGTGCCGCCTACAGTCGGTTCCCGGCAACGGATCTGCCTGCCGGCGACTGGGACGCCAGTCCCCAGGCTGCACTCATCAGCGTCACTCATCGAATTCGACACATGGAGAAGAAAATTCGACGGATACTGTCTGCTCACCCGTGTGCGTGAGCTAACAACAGCGGAACAGAAGGCCGCCCTCATCGCCGTATTAGACGACGACTGGACACGGATCGTCGACTTCGGGCTCCAGCTACCCGCGGACGCGGATCTGGACAGCGTCCTCGAGGCCATGCAGAAGTACTTGCGTCGCCAACGCAACGTCATAGTCGACCGCATGGACTTCACAGCCAGACTACAGCAGCCAGGTGAATCCATCGACGAGTATGTGTGCGCCCTGAGAGAGATAGCAGCGTGCTGTGACTTTTGCCAACACTGTGCCGATGATCGATTCCGGGATCATATCGTCGTGGGCACAATCGACAGTGACGCGCGAAGGCGCATGCTAGAGACTGCCGACCTCACATTTGAGAAAGCGCTGGACATATGTCGTGCCTGTGAATGCGCCACCAACAACAATCAGGAGATCACGCAGTCAGGGACGGTCGGACGGATATCTCGCTACCGTCAAGCGAATCGAACAGGGATTACCCCCGGGCCCGGCCGGGTTACGGTTGCGAGCAAATAAAACTATCGAACTAGATTGCGAGACACAAACCTGTGAAAACGTTATGTTGTTCGTTGAGATGTAAAATGGTGTATTCCTCAAAACAATCGACAGTACCTAGTTCTCTTTTTTCCCGTAGTACGTTTGTATATGTGCGATTCTCTCACACACGATTGATTCCAGAATAAGCTCCATTAGTGCGACCCACACACATTTCCAGATAACCCGGATATGCATACCTATCACATTTTGTCTATACCTCCCTAAGCTCAGCTCAGTCTAAGGGTTCCCAAAAGAGGGTGATCTCTTCTCTGGCCGACTTTTGACAAGGTGCCTCTCAACCTCCTCGAGGTCAAGCTCGAGGGCAGCCTTCGGGTGCAAATGAAAAAATAGTAGGAGAATGAGTGGGAGTAGGAGATATGCGACAGACGGTCCGAGAACGAACGTTCTGCTGATGCACGTGATACGGGGAGTGGGGACCGACGAGTCCGACGACCTTCAAAAACAGGCGTACTATTATGTTATTAACCGCCTATCATAAATGTTGCACCGGTCTTCTGTTCCCCTTTCAACATCAGCCAAATTTTGTGGGGGCAAAAACATAGTCTTGCCCCCACGGCCTCCTGCCAGTGGGGGCAGTCTGCCCCCACTGCCCCCACGGTGGCGCCGCCCTTGTTGGGAGCGCCGGAAGTCGGCAAGGTCACAGTCGGCAGCAGAAATTCGAAAAATCAAAATTTAAATTTTTGAAATCTGATTGTATTTTTGGATTTGGGAGGTCCATTTGCTCCCTATAGAAGCTAATATTGCTGCATATTCCCATTGAGGTGACAAGAATTAGCAAAATAGTGGTTCGGGCGCTTTTCAAAAATAGTACCGGACGCTGTTCCTCTTGTGACGTCATAGCTCCGTGACCTGACCTGACCCGGTCAAGTTTCTTATACCATATGATAGCCAATACTTGCCCCAACATGCATGGGAAGTTTCATCACGATCCATCAACCGATGTCCGTACCACCGGCAGGAAACCTCTGGCGTTGGCACTCAGTTTGTGAAAATCCGGCCGGAGGCTGTTCCCTTTGTGACGTCATAACTCCGTGACCTGACATGACCCGGTGAATTTTTTTTTTATCAAAAGATGCGCAAGGTTTGCCCCATAAGCGCAGCGCCGCCATTTTTGCACTATTTCCGAAAAGCCTCAGGGGGGGGGGGGTTGCACCAACCCCCCCCCCTACATGGGCGAGGGTTAATTAAACAACCGTGACGCGTGCTCTCACCATTCAGAGTTCAACACTCTCACGACTGAACGGCGGAACAATGACCTGACATTGACCTGACATTGACCTGACCCGGCACTGACCTTCTGCAGGTCGGCCGGTGAGCAGCCAGAGGCGCCAGAGCACCATCTACGAGACCAGTGAGCAGGTCGGCCACAACCACCAGATCACCGTGCAAAAATGGTGAGCTCGCAGTGGCTGTGGATGTGTTAGTGACTTTGTGTACCTGTTTTGCAGGGGATGAATGAGTCGTTGAAGAAGACAATGCCACTGGCTAATGGTCAGGTTATGTTTGGATAAAAAATGGCTTCATTGTCATAAAATAACCATGGGCATCCGATTCCATCTGACCCCTGTATCAGTAATTCCATATAAGGGATTTCAACCTTGATTTTCAAGCCAGCGTGAAACTGATTGCTCACTTTGTGGCTGCATTTAAGTGAGCCCTAACTTGATAAAATCGTTTCGCTACTGCGTCCTTTCTCGAGAGTGCCCATCAGTATGCCCGACATTGCGACCCCTGCTAAAGGTACCCATCTGTCTCTGACTTCCATCGTTTCTCTCGACAGCACCATGTCGGCCATCTGTTTCGTCTGCAGCCTGCCGATCCTCAGTCACCAGGTCGGTCTGGTCTGGAAGGGCGGCAGTGGCGCCGACGAGTTCGCCGCCTCGCAGCCGATCGTGACGCGAAGACGCGACTCGACTGTCCCTCTGGGCGCTGCCGCCGAGCCTCTGTCGCCGCCGGGGAGGCCGCGTCGCCGCCGCTCCTCGCTGGCGCAGCTCACCGACCTGATCCGCGACTGGGGACGCGGCGGAGACCGGCGCCGCGCCGAGCTGGCGCGATGCGACACGGTCGCCGACGCCGCGCCCCCACGCTCGCTGCCATTCGCGCGACGCGATTCGGACACTCGCGATCCTCCGCCGCTGGCGCGGCTGACAGAGGCGGTCCCGCCCCGCGGAGGCAGGCGCCAGTCGCTCGCAGAAGGAAACCTTCTGAAAGGGAAGCGGCGCGGCGAGGGTAACGATCTGCGCTCCGACATCTCGCGGCTGCTGGCCTGCCGTGAGACAATGACCGAGCTCTGGCGAAAACGCCGCGAGACGAAGGAGGGCAAGGCTGATCGCGGCGAGCGACGACCGAGACGCCAGTCGGCAGCGACGGTGGCATCGCCGCGAGATATCAAGCCGCCTCCCTCTCCGGACGGAAAGTACATCGAGCCTCGAGCTCTGATCGAGGCCCGCCAGGCGTCCCTGCTCGACCACCGAGACAGTGAGTCACACGACTCGGCGGCGTCACGCGACTCGCTGGTGTCACGCGACTCGGGCGTCACACTCGCCACCGGCTGCGAGGACCGCCAGAGTCCGACTCCTGCGAGCCTGCACCACCGCGTCTCGCTGCCGACCATCACGCCTCTGGTTCCGCGCGTCCACCCGCGCGGCTGCATCTCGCCGGAGCCCAGCCTGGGCCTGGGCCGCGAGTCAGCCAGCCCGGCGGCTCCGGCAGCTCCGCTGTCTCGCAGCGGTGAGCTGCTGGTATCTCCGGACGTAGCTCCCCCGGGGTCACCGCGCCACGGCCAGCTGCGCCGCCAGGGCACCACCGTCGAGGAGAGCTCGCCGGCGCCGCGCGGCCGCAGCGGCTCGCGGCCTTTCCTGTCGCCCGACCCGTTTGAGCTGGAGGCGGCGGTGTCTCTGCGCGCCCGCCGGCGTGACTCGCTCTCGCCCGATAGCGCCGCGGAGGAGATGAACATGGCGCGCCGCCTGAAGAGCCACCGGCTCTCCGGTGAAGAGTCCGGCGGCCGTAGCCGACGGGGCAGTCCGCACGCGCTACACAGGTCAGTGATTGGCCTGGGGTGCACTGTGTGATGCTGCTGACGGGGTCCCGCGGGGTTCACTGTCCGGAACATCGATAATTAGGTCATTGAATGGTACATCTGAGGCGTAGTCAGTACCACCGACGGAGAGCCAATCACTGTATATCAGCTGCAGGACATTGGTTTATGTGAGACTTGATGGCGGTCAGGATTTACTTAGCAACGGTTGACTATTCTGTTCGGGGGAATTTACTATTTATGTTATAAGTTTAGAATTTCACTAGTTACTGAGATATAAAACATTCAACCTTTCGCAGCTTTCATTTTCATTTACGACGGAAATTAAATTTAATGTTATTTTTACAGCCCATCTTTGTACAGCTTACGCTTCAGCTGAAGTTCGTGTTTCATATAAATGATCCCAAATTTGATATTCTCATGTGCCCCGACAGGTCACCAGATGGCTCCAGTGCCAACAGCTCGCGAGACGCGTCTCCAAACTCCTCTTTCCGACGTCAGTCCACGACAGAGGAGATCCTCATCGCAAAGGTAGCCAAAAATATGCCCGCCAAACAGCACAATGACGGTGGCATTTTTTAGCGAAGGCAGGTCTTGCCCTGCTTTGTGCCGAAAGAGTGAGAGAGAGAGAGAGAGAGAGAGAGAGAGAGAGAGAGAGAGAGAGAGAGAGAGAGAGAGAGAGAGAGGGAGAGAGAGAGAAAGAGAGAGAGAGAGAGAGAGAGAGAGAGAGAGAGAGAGAGAGAGGGAGAGAGAGAGAGAAAGAGAGAGAGAGAGAGCCATTCAGATGTTTTTTTACGCAACATCTGGGCTAAATATAACTGAAGCCGTACTGAACTACTTCAACAGGGCTTCCGGCGACAGTCGACGACTGAAGAGACGTTCCGGAGCCGCAACTTCCGGCGCCAGTCCACCGTGTTCGAGGATGTGGCCAGCGTGCACACCCGCTCAGAGTCGTCCACGCAAATAGTGAATGGTATGGAGCGAAAAACTCACTAAAATAGGAGGAAGAACGGTGTAGTAGATTTACTACCAGACGTTGATGAAATTAATTGCCGTTTTTGAATACCTACGATTTTGCCTCTTTTCGCATTGATGATTCTTGTTACAATGAAATGAATTTTGCAGTGGTTTTACCGTAAAACCCACGGGTTTGGACGTTGATTATGAAATTTTCTGTTTAGGATTTCCATTTCTTTTGAACCGAATTCCTTCCTAGATTCCCTCTAATCCGTCCGACATGCGTGTGTTTGCAGAAGAAGCGTCGATGTACGACAACAATAACTACCACGAGGAATGTCTGCGCTGTAACTCCTGCGGACAAAACTTGACCGGGCCGAACCAGAAAAGGGCTCGACGACACAGAAACACGGTAAATTGTTGTACCGATATGTCATCTAGTACCATCCAGGGTTAGGAGTGTGGACAGAAAAGGAATAGTAACTACGTGGCGTGACCAATCTGCAATAATTCCTAAATAAAATCTCCCATCGCATTGCCTGCAGCTTACTAACGTTGAAGTGGCATGAATGACTCAAAACATCAAGAAAATACAAGGTCACTGATTTACTCGTACACCAGAGAACAGGTAGCAATCAGCGATCGGCTCGCAATTTCCTGGTTTGATGCATTGGCTAATGTTCCAGATCTACTGTGACCTGCATTTCGCCGACCTGGCACTGATGGAGAGCTCCGACTTCATGAATCAGCTACGAGCCTTCAAGCCGCAGAGTCTGGGCTGCGCCGTGGCGCGCCGGAAAAGCTCCACCACACTCATATTTCCGCTGCCACCTCAGGCGTGCTCAGGTCGGGTCATTGTTCCCGACCCTGTCACCGCCACCAATTCTTTGTGGACTTCGTATAAGCTTCGGAGCATTCGTGACGCATCAACCTTCACCTAATGTAATGGAAAACACACATTTTTTATCCGTAACGATTACAAATTTATTAAAAATTTGCATACGTTGAAGTACTCGTACTTTGTTTTTAGTAACGCAACAATGGGTTAGTATTTAGTGGGGTTCACTATAGGATTGCCGCAGGAAACACCGAAATAAGTGATGCTATGCGGTTGACTATACATTTAGTGAACTTGACTATTAGTGAAGTGTGTATTTCGGCGTTTTCAGACGAGTTTTGCCGCGGCTACCCGCACAACCTGATCGTGACACCCGGCTACTGGGTGGAGTGCTCCGGCCAGACGGCCCTGGACGAGATCACCTGGACGCTCGGCGAGGTGGAGGAACTCGAGACGTTCGAGCAGCACGCCATCGAACAGGACGACAGCGCGGTGAGCAATTAGTTAACATAGACAGCGCGGTTAACTAACGGGACCACAGCGCGGCAATGCGACAGCTCGTAGTTGGCGACACAACAACAGTATAGGTGTTCCTGACATCGTAAATGTCTTTGATTATTTAGGCTTGAAATGCATATTAACACCAAATTTTTATCTACCATCGAGATTCTGGAAAACGTACTAACGATTCATATCTATCTCCCCCCTCTTTTTTCTTCCCCATTTCTCTCCCTCCCCTCTGCCTCGCTCTCTGTCTGTCTGTCTGTCTGTCTGTCTGTCTGTCTGTCTGTCTGTCTGTCTGTCTGTCTGTCTGTCTGTCTGTCTGTCTGTCTGTCTGTCTGTCTGTCTGTCTGTCTGTCTGTCTGTCTGTCTGTCTCTCTGTCTCTCTGTCTCTCTCTCTCTCTCTCTTTCTCTCTCTCTCTCTCTCTCTCTCTCTCTCTCTCTCTCTCTCTCTCTCTCTCTCTCTCTCTCTCTCTCTCTCTCTCTCTCTCTCTCTCTCCGTAACCAGTCGATGGATGCCGACGATGAGCCCGTGCTGCCGCTCTCGATGCGTCGTCTGCTGCGCGTGCCAACCATCCGCGCGCCGTCCCGCGACAAGACGCCTATCGAGGAGCACTTCGAGAAGTACGGCTCCTTCGAGCTCACCTCCATCGAACAGGAGACCTACGAGAAGTATTTCTACGGCACCGAGCACTGGAACTACTTCACACAGGACGAGGACCTGGGACCGATCATCCTGAGCCTGAAACAGGAGACCATCAACGGCAGAGACCAGTTCAGGTGAGACCATCGATAGCAGGGACCAGTTCAGGTGAGTCCATCAACAAGAGGCACCGTTCCGTCCTTCTATCCTCAGGATACTGAAATCCTTCTCCTCCACGCCGCAACCCCCCTCCGGGCTGGACAGGCAACTTTATCTCATGCGGGCTGCTCCCTTGGAGCGGCACCGCTGCTCCCGAGGGAGCGCACCCCGTAGCCGGGTGCAGTGAGTGCCTTGGGGCTGGGTGGCCTGTCCTCTGGACGGGCTCAGCCCCGGCGACTCACTAGGGTCCCTGCCCAGACCAATGTCTCCCCCTATATCCTATCATCCTCCCGGCTCTGAAATGGTCTCATTGGACCGAAAGGGCCTAACCCAAAAAAAAAAAAATCAACAAGAGGGACCGGCTCAGGTTGGAGCCCCGTGAAGTCTTGTCTCAGAGTGATAGCTGTGTCCGTGGATATTCGGTAGTTACTTGGAATGTGCGTTGCATTATTTTGCTTTCAAAACTTGTCTTGGATACTAATCAGGTCTTTCCATTATTCCTGGCCATTGCAGGAATTACGTGACAACGTTAACCCGGCCGGGCCCGGGGGGGGGGGGGGTAATCCCAGCCACCGCAGCCCGGGGAGGGGCGTTTTTGCCCCCCGTCTAACTCCGTAAATAAGGGAGGTACGGAAACAAAAGTGACACCAAACGAAAGGTCTTTACAAGACGATTCTAAATCACCTAAAATTTCTGACCTCAGGTCAATTTTCAAGGTCAGAGGTCAAGGTCAAAGGCAAAAACCGACACATGTGTGGTGATCTCAAAGTAAGCGTTCTAGAGGACGACAAGATGCATGAAACCGGCAAAATTGGGTGTCAAACGAAAGAAGAGCATCTGAGGATTCCGAAACTGTGCTCAGAATTAAAGATCAATGTCACGGTCACGCTCAAAATTGACCTCAAACTTTGCACTTTTTCGTACATCTTGCGTGCTTACTTTCAAGATGTTTTGAAATGTTTTGAGGCTTATCAGTTCCCTATTTGTGGTTCATCTTACGATACAAGGCTTCTCGAAGGTCAAGGTCACAGAAGAGTATCCTTGGTAGAGGCTATTTCACTGATTCAAGTTAGTAATAATAAATAAGACAATTTTGCCATCCGGAAGCTCTAAATGAAGGCTTAGAGGAAAATAGATGACAGATTCGTGATCAGCGGGTACAAATCCATCAAAGGCGACCTTTCATTTGTCAAGGTCAACCAAAGGTCATTCGAGGTCACATGAGGTCAACATAAAACTTGACCTTTTCCGAACAAAATATATATCTTTCGACGCGGCTGGACAAGACGAATGCGATGGTACCACTGTCGAAGCTCTAGGGCCATTTTTGTCGAAGTTATTTGCGAAAACTAAAACCACATTTCGGGGTCGTTGACCTGATCTCTGACCTCAGGTTACCAAAGCTATTTTTCTATTTTTCTCTAGGTCAAACGCTACACAACCGTGCTCGTAATTTGTGTTTATCTCTTAAACTTTATTTTTAGCAGCTATTTGAAGTTTGCGTCTGTGACGCCGAAGTTTGCCGTGCAGGGGTCTAGCGAAATCGACCCTGTGACGTCATCAAGGGGTCTAGGTCCAAATTTTTTACTTCAGAAGATGTCAAATTGATTGGAGAAAAGGTACTGAAAGTTTTGCTTCCCTATCCCTAAGGGTTCGGGAGCTATCGCAAATATTCGCCAGGGGGGGTGAAAAACGCCCCCCCCGGGCCCGCGAGGGTTAAATGGCTACGATTTGCGTTACATAGCGCTGTGTCCTCAGGATCATTGAAAAATCGTTGTGTCAAAATGCTCAACTGAGTACTATGACAAAGCATTGTCCCGTCAGGATCATGGTACGGGCCATCAGCTACACGGTGCACGGCCTCGTGCCGGCCTCGTGCGTGTTCGCCGACCGCTACAACCGCGAGGAGGTGGTGCGATCGCTGGGCAACGAGATCAACCTGAACCCGCCGCTGCTGCTCAGCCAGCTGCCCGACATACCCGAGGAGCTGCTCAAACTCGACCAGGTGAGCAGCTGCTCAAATTCGACCAGGTGAGCAGCTGTTCAAATTCGACCAGGTGAGAGACTTCTGACAGCAGCCCGACATACCCGAGGAGCTGCTCAAACTCGAGGTCAGTGGTCACCGCCAGCCGCCCCACAAAACTGAGCAGCTCTTAAAAATCGACTATATAGGTGATTTACACAATGTGCAGTACCAGTTCCGCTGTACCAGTCCGGACCAGTTCTACATATCGAACCTCTCCGGAATGAGTATAACGGAAATAAACGTAGGATAACAAGAGCCAGTTTTTCTTTTGTCATAAAACACATTGGAGATGAACCCTTCACCTTTGCGATAAGCAATGAATGAAAAAGTTTAATTGGGTAGGAACTGGTACACGACAAAAAGTCTGAGGGATTAATGACGATTACGAGATATCGTGTGACATCGGACCATCCCAAGCAAGGCGACATTGCCGCCAGTTTTTGTGAAACAAGCCCCCAATTAACAGCCCTTTCTATAATTCGTGTCATGTTTCGGAATACTAACGTTTAACGTTGACTGAATACCAAAGACTGAATGTGTCCGAGTCGCATCTACATACAGTTTAAATGGGTTGAAAACGGACAAGGACCATGCTTGCTTGACCCATCACACGCTATGTGCCATTGCATTTATGTATTTGAATTTAACCCGCGCACCGACGGGGAGGGGGGGGGGGCGAATATCCGCCCCCCCCCCTGAGGTTTTTCGCGAATAGCGGGAAAACCGCGGCGCGCCGCGAAATTTGGTATGACTATTCCCTTATCAATTTTACACATGGTGTGCAAGTTTGAACCTCCTACCTTTCAAGGTCAGGTCACCAGGTCACTTTGAATGACCCAACCTCAAGTCACTTTTTTGCAACTTTGTCACCGTGCCAGAGCTACAGTAGATGTCGGAGGCCTTTGAAAGTCGCAGGATGTTATAAAGTCATTAGTAGCTACAATTTGTTTATCTCGGAATTTTGATATCGGTGACCTAAGGTCAGGTCAATTTCGCGACCTCCCCATTATAAGTCAATGGGGGAAAAATCAACTCCCTGTTTTTACCACTAAAACGGGTCGGAATGGCCCCATATACCATACATGACTTCATATACGATCAACCTTCACTACCTTGAGGTCTGTTTTGCTGTTGGGCAGCTGTGAGGTCATGTGACGTCATCAAAGGTCACCAAAGGTTTTTGGCCAATAACTCCGTACAGGAACAAGATACAGACGCGTGGATGGTCTCATTGTGTTCAGCTCGTCAAGACGCATCGAATGATATACATGATGACCTCGAGGTCACGTGACCTGAGGTCAACCTTTGACCTTGACCTTTCGAGGTCAACATATATATCATTCGATGCGGATTGACAAGAGGATCACGATGATGCCCTTAGTTTGTTCCTATCTTGACTAATTCGAAAGTTATTCGAGAAAAACTCTCTCCATATTTAGCGCCGCCATTTTGACTTTTTCGACCCCTGTGACGTCATCTTTGACCTGACCTGAAAATGACCTTAGTAAAAATTGTAGATCTTGACCGTGCGTATCCGATGTCGTTTACCGCTTGTCGCTATCTTGCTTCGTTCTCGAGATCTCAGGGGGGGGGGCGGTCATCCGCCCCCCCCCGTCGGTACTAAGTTGGCGCAGACCCCCGTCGGTGCGCGGGTTAAGTATGTACTGTAAAGAAGAAGACAACCTATGTCAAAACTATTCATGCTGCGCTGGATGTGTCATTTTTGACAACTGTTGAAAAGGGAGCCTGTGTTTCACAGGTGTTCATCAAATCTGAGCTCAAAGTCGGAGTCGTGTACGTAAAGGAGGGGCAATATACCGAAGAGGAGATTCTCGATAACAACGAGAGCAGCCGGCAGTTCGACGAGTTCCTATCCATCCTGGGGGAGCGAGTGCGCCTCAAAGGTAAGAGGGAGTGTCACAGATGATCACAGCCGATGAATATGGTGCGGAAGGGCTCATGTAAGTGAGACATCAATTCTCAGGTCTACATACATTTTGGGGAAACAATTAATCGTTTTCACGAATGATGAGTGTAGCCATGAGGAATATTTGTGCAGCTACAACTGAAGCTGCCTCAGTCAAGCTGAGCTTATTTCCATGTCATATCCTAACGAGTGTCCCCTATACACGTCACTAAAGCGATCATTTTACGATTTGTCAGGATTCGACAAATACAAGGGAGGTCTGGACACGGTGCACGACCTCACGGGCCTGACGTCCGTGTACACAAACTGGAGAAGTATCGACATCATGTTCCACGTGTCCATTCTTCTGCCGTACGAAAAACAAGATATCCAGAAGGTGAGATAGCTAATCGAAAATCTGTTATAAAAACGGCCATCAGAACAGATTTAATGAAAAACCTTTTGTATCTTAGTTTCAGCTGACTTCATGCGCAAAAGTTTTATCATATAAGGAATTAAAAGGTCGCTAGGTCGTCATTTATTTCCACTGCCCCCCCCCCCCCATGATCGCCCTCTGTTTGCCCTACATTTTTCTGTCACACCAGTCCCACTTCTGTTGCAGCTGCAGCGTAAACGTCACATCGGCAACGACATCGTGTGCGTCGTGTTCCTGGAAGCGGACGACACATGCTTCTCACCAGCCTGTATCAAATCGCACTTTCTTCACACTTTCATCGTGGTTCGCACGAGTCCAAACGCCACCAACAAGCCAACCCAGTATCAGGTGAGTGCATACAATGGGACAATACACACGGCCCTATAACACAGATGTGAAAGAGATACCGGTATTTGCTCTGACTGTACCTCGCGTAATCCCGGTCGGTGTAATGACGCACCGCCATAAAACACTGAACTGGGGAATGATAACGCTTATACGAACGCCTTTGTTGACTGTCTGCGGTTGCAGGTCTCCGTAGTTTCTCGAGACGAGGTCGGCGCCTACAAGCCGTACCTTTGGGAGCAGTCCACCTTTGAGAAGGGAGCCATGTTCAGAGAGTGGCTGCTCACGAAAATCGTTAACGGCGAGCGGGCCAGTTACTCGGCACCCAAGTTCGCGCGCATGCAGGAGCGGACCCGCAGTCAGATGCTGGAGGATATAGTGACGAACGTACAGAACCACGCGGAGACGGGACAGCTGCCAAAGCCGTACAGGTAAGCTGCGACTGAAGGCTGGAGAGACTAAATGAGACACAACAGCCAAGAGACATAGAATTGTGAGGGTATGCTACATATACATAAGTAGGACCTTCGACAGGACTGATTAAAGGTTATATGAATCGTACACGCATTTAAACATTATATTGGAAGTTGAGAAGAGGCAGCGGCACTAATTTAACGCTACGATGCGATTTTGACGTTTTGCTGTGATGTCGTATCGGTATGTGGCATTTCAACGAACGCCCGGCTCAGCCGGTCGACCCACTTACCAGTGCAGTGGCCGACTGACTCAGCGTCTTGTAACGACCTACTGACCTAGCCTCTTGTGACCGTCTGACCATGCTCCGATGACCTGATTCCACTCCGATGACCTTACCCCGCTCCAGAGACCGTCTCACCTAGCCTTCGGTGACTTTCTCACTCATCTTCGGTGACCCCACTTCGATAACCTGTTGGTCTGTTGGTCTAGCTCCGATGACCCCGGTCTAGCTTCGATGACGAAGTGTGCCATGTTGTGTATCCCAGGCGCGGCTCGTGGCGGCCCATCGGCCACATGCGGCCGTCCTCACCTCTGCTCGACTCGGTCCGTGACCTGTTCGAGGGATACGACCAGCTGGCTAAGGACTTCACCAAGGCCTTCCACAACCCCGAGCAGGAGAACCCACTCTATGACGTCACCTTCCTGGTGGGGCAGAGCAAGCAGAAGATGAAAATGTACGGCGTACGCGCTATTCTGGGCGTTCGGAGTCGGTAAGTTGAAGAAGTTCCCGTTAACCCTATTAGTGGCAGGGGGGGGGGGTTGTTTTTATCCACCCCTCAGGTTTTTCGGGAATATCTCCGAAACCGCTGAAGCTACGATGCTGAAATTTTCTGACTTTTCCTAAAACTAAATTGGGCACATTCCCTGAAAATTTCAAGTTCATAACTTTACCAGGGGCGGCTCCAGAGCACTGGAAATTGGGGGGTCCTATTCGTGAAGCGAGTCATTTGGGCGAAGATCACGATGCTGCACCAGTTTTACGAACAGTGAATGAAAGGTATCATGTGATAACATATACAAAGTTATTGTGCATCCTCTTGACACGTTTTTGCTATAATAGGCGGATACAGGCGTCCAAAAAGGGGGGTTATTTTTTACCTCCCAACATAGGTGCCCTGACACCGCCTATGCATGACCAATACAATTTTAGTCGTTCTCTCATAAGAAAATTGTAACATAACAAGACCATTGCCACCCTTTTTAGAAACAGTACCAACAAAAACCTTATTTACTATACTTTTTGTGTACCCCCAATCTCAATGATCTGTATCCGCCTATGATTTTTGAAAATGCATATTTTTAGGATCCATGTGAATTCCTGGTTCATTCTCTATCGATCGGCAAAAGTTGCGTTAAGATTGGTTCAGAAACCTGGCCGTGATAAACAGTCTAAAATGTATCTGCAATTTGCCCGTTTTTACCCCCCTCTACCCCCCTATTGACATTTTTTAATTTTATTTTTTTTTAGAAATGTAGATCTCGTTGAGCCAAATCGAATGCCGTTTGAATTTTGAAAATCGGCCGGTTAGATCTCGAGATATCAAGGGGGGGTCGTAAACAGCCCCCCCCCCCTGCCACTAATATGGGGTAGCCAGGAGCCTGCCACTAATAGGGTTAAAAAATATTGTGCTTGACCATGAACTAAAATTGTCATGTGCGTAAAAATTCATTTTGCCTCTATTTCTCTGTCGCTTTTTTAATTTTACGCCTACCTCACAGTCTTTCATGATTCTGTTGCTTTCCACCAACTTGAGGGAAAGTCGGGAAAATACGTTACGGAATACGTTAGCAGCCTACTAGCATTAGCTGTTTCCTATTTATTATGCACTCTTTTTAAGCACATCTTCTCCTCGTTAAATGTGATACGACGATCCTTCGACATTTGAGTCTTAAAAACTAAAACTTATCGTATAACCCTGCCCGTATAGGGGGGGGGGGGGGGTCGAACGGACCCCCCTCGGTTTTTCGCGAATAACTCGCGTAAAAAGCGGCCGATCACGACAAAACTTTCAGTACCCTCGAGTTGATCAATTTTACACCTACTCTGAAAATTTAATGACCCTGACCGAAATGACCTTTGACCTGTGACCTACTTTTCGAGACCATGTTTGGCCGGAATGGCGATTCGGCGTATGTCGGCTCGCATTAGCGGCGCGTTTGCAGTCTTTTCGTGGTTTCAAGCGTTCAAACATCTGAAATGATGTTGGTCCCATGCATTAGGGTGGGTGTCAAGGTCACCGGAAGGTCAGGTCAGGTTATTGACCTTGGATGACCTCGGTTCGCTTTTTCGAGTTTTACATGTTTCTAGGCCAGTTTTTTGAGCTGAATCCGAATCTAACAACCATATGAACATTTACGAAGTAGTTTTGGTGCCTTCGTAACATGTTACGAAGCTGTCAGAGGCGGTTGACACCTACTGCGAATACCCGGCAGGACCCCTACTGGTTGACCTGACCTGACCTGACCCGACTTGGACTAAATGCATGAAGACATCATCTGTGATCAAAACTAACATGATATTCGTGATCAGCACCCCGAAAAGCCCCATAGCAGCCACACTTTACGACGTTCTAACAGGTCCCGATTTTCCCGACTTTTGGGTCATTGACCTGACCTGGAAGGTCAACCAATGACCTAGGACCTTAAAATTGGGTATCTTCGGCTTTCTCTCGTCACGGGCAACACGCTCGTTTTTTCCGCGAAGCTCTAGCTCGATCAGGGGCGAAACCGTCGGCAAGGGTGGTCCAACGAACCCCTCCCCCTTATACGTTCGCGGCTGGAAAAACACCAATACGGGCGAGGGATAACACAAGTGATATCATGGCGCGGCATTTGCACATCATGTGCTTACAACTGTGCTGTTTTTTAAATCTCATGTGCATCGATTTGATCCTGTCACCATAACTGTTGTATGCTTTCTGCAGCGTGTTCCAGGAGATGCTTTACGGCTTCAGCACGGGCTTCGGCTCGCCACAGGTGTCCGTAGCCGACATCCTGGCGCGCGCAGTGCCCACCCTGCACAGCCCCTCGCACCGTGGCAAGAGCTCCAACTTCCTTCAGGTACCCGACATCGAGTCGCCCAGGTGAGACGACGGCAAACATGCTTTTCCGCTAAGTTCCGTATTGTGCTAAAAACGCTTACTCGGCGCATGGAACACGGGATATTCTCAAGATTCGGACGTGGCTCTAACGGTGACTGATGTGACTGGAGTGGGTCTGGTCATTTCTGCTGTGACTGTGACGGTGACTGACGCGATGTGGACTCCGCGGCAGGCCGAAGAGCGTGCCCAGCTCGCCGATGGTGGTCCGTGCCTTCAGTCGACTGGGCAGCATCACGGCCGGTTGGGGACGCACCAGCAAGAAGCCGCCCGACACCAGCCGCCTCCGGCCCGACGACCGCAAAAAGTGGGCCAGCAGCCACGACTGCTCAGGTCAGTGCACTGACCGCTGGGTCTGGCCGCTGACCAGTCTGACCACTGCGGTGGTCGGGCTCGGCGACACGAGGTCACCGGCTGTCGGCGCCCGCTGGGGGCCGACACACCTGTGGGAACCGTGCGACACCGCGCACCTGTGGGAGCCGTCATGGGGCAGGGATGACAAACGACATGTTGTACAAAGTCTGTTCGTGCCGAAACCAGGGACTCCGTGGCGCAACGGTAGCGCGTCTGACTCCAGATCAGAAGGTTGCGTGTTCAAATCACGTCGGGGTCAGTCGTCCGTTTTGGTCCAATTGAAGTAGACGCACGCCGGTTATATATCGACACCTTTTTTTTAAACCCCACATTTGTTCTCCGGTGAATTTCAGACAAGTTGGTTAGAGACCTTCAAAAAAGGTACAATCACTCGATTTTTCTCAAGTTTGTCTGTCTTTTGGCAGATAAAGCAATACCAGAACAGGCCTACGAACACAAATATTTGATCAGGATCGGAAGATTGGACACTTTTAAAAGGAGATCTTTCGTGCCTCCCGGAAATTCACGGGAGAGCAGATGTGGGGTTTAAAAAAAGGTGTCGATATAGTATTTCAGTTTTCATATAGGTAGCTGTATCGGTTCCTGTCCACTGTCGACGAAAGCATTAGTTGTGCCGTAATGCCAATGGCAAAAATGTTATTTGTCGAAATATTAATTCGAATTTAATGTTTGAATAGATAAAAATACAATTACTTTTTGACAATAGAGAAGTGAAAAAATTGAGGAGAGCATGGCAATGAATGCATTTTGATAAAACCTTGCCGTAAGTTTCAATAGCACGTTACTGTAGATGAATAACGTTTTAACGTTATTCATCTACAGTTTGTGGTATCCAACAGTACCTACAATCCGACAGCTCGTACACTAACATGAGAGTTCCTATATGCCTATATGTATGTACATACCAGACCTCTGAACCTTGATGTGTGTCGTCTCGAGCAGATCGAGTGAAGCCTGAGAAGCAAGGCGACGCTCAAGACATGGTGCCAAAGCTGTCTGTCTGCGCTGACCAACAGAAAGTAGACCGGTCAAAGCTGTGCCAAAATGAGGTGAGTTTGGCTGCAACGAATCAGCCTAACGGTGTTTGTTTTGCAGACGATGTAGAATAGAGACAAAACAGGATGGTCACTGGCCAGCAGGTCAAGCACGCCAAGAAGGCTCAGGATGTAGCAAAGAGGCGGAGCAGATACCTATAGTTAGGCCAAGATAGCCCTCGCCGGACCTATTGGTTTTCTACATATGCGCCGGCCAAGGGGAGGGGGGCAGATACGACCCCCCCTCGCCGTTTCGCCCCTGGTGGAGCTAGCGCGTCGCGGAAAAAACGAGCGTGTGCGCCGTTACAAGACGCAGAGATTTGTACCCGATTTTAAGGTCCTAGGTCAACTGGTGACCTCTGAGGTCAGGTCAAGTGCCCCAAGGTACGGTTCAGTTTTTTTTAAATAACTTCGCAAAAACGGCCGCAGAGCCACGATTTTGGCAGCATTGTGTTCGTCTCGCTCAGGCGCGTCGAATGACATACTTTTTGTTCGGGTCAGGTCAACATAGGGTGTTGACCTCAGGTCAAGATCAGGTCAGCACCCCCAGGTCACGAAGTTGGTCGAAAGAGGTCATGTCGCATATCATTCGATTCGGCAGGTCTTCCTGAGTCCATTGGTGGCTTTCCGACTCGCTAGCTCAGTTTGATCGGGAGTTATTGACGAAAAACTAATATGACCTTGATGACGTCATAAATGACGTCACGCAAGTTCAACATTGCAAAAGTGACGCATCTAACCTTGGAAGGAATGCATGAAATCACGATTCTGTGGGCTTGAGATAGTTGGAGATTGTTCCCGGCGCCAGAATAGCAGTTTTCATTTTTCCCCATTGACTTAACCCGCGACCTGGTGGGGGTGGGGGTTATTTTTTGCCCCCCCCCTCCAGACTTTTCGATATATCTCCAGAACCGCTGCGCCGATCGTCACGAAACTTCCAGTACCCTCCCGGACATCAATTTTACACATTGTGACCAAATATTTTTCCAAAGGCTATGATAGGTTGGCCGGAAATGACGTCAGAGTGACGTCATGTTCTGCCGTTTTCGACACAAAAAAGGGTTTCGCGGGAAGAGCTGTCAGGCCTATAGCTTTGCAAATACAGAAAAATGATTAAGACATAAAAGCTGTAGATTGGACAGGGCTACAAAACTGATATCTCGGATTTTTGAAATTTTTGGATTTTGACCCCCAAAAATAAAAAAATAGATTTTTCGGATATAATAATCGAAAAATCCAAAAAGTTTTTTAAATTTCGCAAAAACCGGAATATATGTGATAGTCCTTACCGCCTTCCATCCACATACCAAATTTGAGATTGATACCTCTTTTTTTGGCGAAGTTATAGCGAAAAAACTGTTCAAAATTGATGACGTCAAATTTTCAAACTCAATTTTTAGCAATTCTAGACCCCGTAGCGCAAAACAAAGACCACCATTAGACTCCCCGTGACGAGCTGCATCGAATCAATACCCATTTTATGCAAAACTATCAACTTTAAAATTTGACCTTTTTTGGCCTGACCTTGACCTGACATTGACCTGAACTTCACCAGAAAGTGACCTAAGCTGTACCTGATAGTCTTATAACCAACACCATTGAGTTGGAAATGAAAAATTGGCCATAAAACATGTATCACACAACCTTAGTAAAGTTGGGCTCATGTGACCTGACCTGTGACCCTTGGTGACCTGACCTGTGACCTGACCTGGTATTGCCAGTGACCTCTAATAGCAACATATCTACTAGGCAACTGACGCCCTACCGCTGATTCTAGACAAAATGCGTTTTCCTCGGTGTTATAGCGCATTCCCTAGAAGCCCCGTGAACGGTGAAACATTTCATCTTTGACCTGACCTGTGACGTCATCGGTGACCCCAAGGTCAATGAAATTTGGTTTCCTTCGACAAATTTGACAGGCCTTTCAAACGCCGTTTGAATTTTGCGGATCCGTCCAGTAGTTTCGGAGATACGAGGGGGGGGGGGGCAAAAAATAGCCCCCCCACCAGGTCGCGTTATAAACAGACCCCACCAGGGCGCGGGTTAAAATGGTGAGGTCACGAAAATGACCTGACCTCAAATGACCTTTAGGAAAAATCCGAGATATACAAGCTGTGAGACTCATAATGGATATTAGATCCTGCAAGTTTCATTTTCCTGTGACATCTCCTCTGGCAGTGAGGGCGTTGCGAAGTTGCGACATCTGAAGACCGTGCAGAGGTTCACTTATGACGTCATGGGTCAGTGACCTGACCTGACCCGAAAATACGGTTGGTGTCAAAAGATCCGGCTTGAATCAAAGGCCAGGTATGCCAAGTGTCAGCTCTCTATCGCCAGCGTGTTCGGAGCTATCGTGAAAAAACCTATGGGGGGGGGGGGGCGGCACCCGCCCCCCCCTCGGCCGGCGAGGGATAGGCATAGCTATTGGCCGAGCAACTCAGCTCAGGATATAGATTGGCCAAGCAAATATTGCTCAGAAATTAGCTAAGGACTGACAAATGAAGCTAGTCTCGGACAATGCTAGGCCTCCAGTGCAGTGAGCTGGCCCCCTCCTGTCCGCAGTTCACGATCATTGAGTTCGAGCCGGACACGTTCCGCGTTCTGCTCGACTACCTCCACCACGGCTCGTGCCCGCTGACCTGTAGTAGCGTGCCGGGTCTGATCTGCGCCGCCGAACACTACGACCTGCCCGAGCTGCTGCAGGCCTGCTTCCACCACGCCAAACAGTTCCTCCGAGTCGACGTGGTGAGTTCCGGGTCAGAGGCCAACGACAGACGTGGAAATATAGGATGAAGGTTTACGAATAGCGGTGTTAAAGCGGTGCCGAGGGTCTCTCTCTACATAACTGAACGTATACACTATACAGAGCTATATATGGTGTATTTTATATTTTGTCGAGTTTGTCGACACCGGAGTACTTAGGGGCTCGAAGTAGATGTTCTCTTTTTTTTTGCATTTACCATGGGCCTGAGGCCTCCCGTGCTCCGTACCTTTTTTGGTGACGGTAGGGTGTGAATAGCCCTTCAATACCTACCATTCACTGCCGACAGACGTGACTCGTCCACCTGTCTTGTTTCAGGTTTGCACCATGCTTGGAGCCCTAGAGAACTATTATTGGCGCTACACGTCCGCCTCTGAGCTGGTGAACATGATTCTCGCCTTCATCGAGTCAAGACCAGGCCAGGTAAAGTCGCCAACACGTATACGGTTAATCACAATGAAACCGATACGATGAACATAAGCCCCGAGGCCCATGCATTGATCGCGATTGTAACACGTGAAGCATTACTGGTTCTTTGATCATTAAGCCGAACGACGTTTGATGTATGATTTCATGCCCATGATGTAACCCTTACAAGGGCTGCTTTGACAGGTGTTTCAGACTGCCGGGTTCCTGGACCTGTCCGAGTCCATGGTGCAGATGATCATGTGCCGCCACCTGGACATGTCCGAGCTGCACAAGTTCGAGGTGATGCTGCGCTGGACGCGCCACAAGGTGCGCAGTCGACCGGCGGCAAGTCGCGCCGACGCGCGCCTCGAGTTCCGGCGCAGCATGGAGCGTCTCGCCAGGGACGTGAAGCTCTACCGCATCTCGCCGCAGGAGCTGATACGCGTCGTCCTGCCCAGCAAGGCCATCAGCAACGAGCGCATCCTGGAGACGCTGATGCTGCAGGCCAACTCGGGCATGTACCGGGTCCAGGAGAGTGACCTGGAGGCCTGCCAGCGCAGCATCAGCCGCCAGGGCTCGCGGCTCAGCAGCGAGTGGGACTCGTTCGACAATGGTCTGTGAAGTGCGCGCGTGCGCACGGCACCCACCGAGACGGCAGCACGGCCGCGATACACAAACAGGGCAAACGCGGCGCGCTCATTTGAGGCCTCCGGTCCTTTGGAGTCACGGCTGAATCTGCTTTTATTTCAGGAACAGGAGGCGGGGTAATTGGACTGTGCTACCCATTGTCAGCTATGACGGAGCCATTCCAAAATAGCATACGATTTTCTACCAGCTGAATCGTAAATCAGCTGTGTCGCAGGTATCCATGCACTGCGGTGCGTTAGTTACATCAGAGTTAACAGTGCCTATCTATCCGAAATTCCTTGAAAAATTATCGAGGCAATAATAATAGGTATAGGCAACGAAATTAGCCCTTCTTTACAGGTGAATATTTTTTTTTTTATTAAGCATCATGTTTTCAGGGAAATATACATTCCGAAGGGTAGTACATAAAAAAGCTGCAGAATAGACCTCTATATAGCGGTCTACAGAGGTGTACACAGTGGTCAATACGCTGCAACATAATGCCAGATAGGAATAATAATATAAAAAACAAATGCGACTGCCAGCAGAAGGTGTAGGCCTGTGGCACTGCAGTGCCTGTCAGGTTCAGCAGCACCATAGAACTTTGCCAGATGACTGTCACAGCCGGGGAACTAATCATCTATACCACAGGTCACCTATGGCTGCACCCATGCAAACACACCGGGTGCTCTTTGTAACGGTCGGATCACATGGAAAGTGCTAGTGGCCCTTGTTTTCCTTTCTCCGTTTTTTTTTAATCTTTATATCAGTTCAATCCATTTGCAGCCATCCGAGTCAATGATACCATGCAATATATATTATACACATACCACATACATACACTAGAATATATATTTCACGCCTTTTCAGTAATGTGGTAGTTCGTTCATCTTGAACGTACCTACCTAACGACGTTTCGCCTAGTTATTGCTACACGACTGAATTAATGGTTTTGCTGGCCACAGTTTACATTCTTTTCGCCCCATACTCCTTCAACCAGGAATAATCTCGGAAAGAAAGAGAAGTTTGCTCTGGACCAGCATTATGTTCACAGCTATAGCCATGAGCCGATGTTTCCTATTGTTATAATTTCGAATCAATCAAGCAGCCGAATGTGTAATAAATACGGGAAACGAAAAAAAACGGAAGAGAGCAATGCCCGTCGTGTGACTTGTCTTAGCTCGAGTCAGTTTGGTGTGAACTGACAGCACTTAGCAGTCTGGCTGCCAGCCGTGACTACGGATTGTGTGTGGTGGCGAGTGTCGGTCCCCGACCCTTGGTGGTGTTCTGTTTCGCTTTGCGCCTTCCTCGTGTCTCCCAGACCCGGTGTGAGCCGTCACACCACCGGCGTTCCACTGTTGGACGCGCCTCAGAGCAGCATTGACAGTCGTGTCGCGGTACGACTGTCCCTCGGTGTATGTACCTGCAGAGTGGTTCGTTGTGTTTCTCCAAACATGCCGAGTTCATATGTGCCCGTTTATCTGTGATAATTGTGCTCCCACCCGTCATCCACTACCCTTGCAAGGTGTTTTCAATGTGCCTAGGTGGTGCCCATTCATCTGAACCGAGTGTTATCTGCGCGTGAGGGGTGTGCAAAGGCAACATTTTCACGTTTGTATCGTATGCTGTTGTGCAAATGTGCGCATCTCTGAATCGATATACACGTCGAAGTATTCCGGAACGATTTTGTCGCTAAATTCAGTTCCGGCTTGGTTAGTTATTTCTATATAGTTATAATCACTCACTTATGTCATATCTCAAAATGTATGTCACTCCTAGGTAGGCTTTGTTCAGCACTGGTATGTACCTACCTTGTCCAGTGGCGGATCCAGGGGGGGGGGGGGCAAAATGGGCATTTGCCCCCCCCCCCCAAACGGCATAATTTTAACATTACGCCTATGGACGAGGCATGGAAAGAATCGATAAATTGTTATGGTTTGCCCCCCCCCCCCCAAAACTCCGAGCTGGATCCGCCTCTGACCTTGTCCCTTGCTGGCGAATGCTGGTTGCACAATTTGTGTTTGTGTTTGTGACGAAGGAAAGTGTGACCGTCTCCATATGTCTTATGATCATGTCAATTGTCAGGCTATGATCATGATCATGTTAAGATCATGTCATGATCATGATCTGATGATCTGGCGTGATCATCAGATCATGTCAGATCATGTTTCCATGCACGTACCTACCAGAACCTAAGTTTGTACATATGAACTGCGCGTGAGGCATAAGTGTACCTATACCTACTCATAGTGATATTCCCTTCCATTCGATGCCAGTAGTAACTCATTAGTCATTTGGCGTCTGCAGAAACAGTATGAATATATGAGGATTTCAACCTAAAAATGTCAAATGCCGTTTGTGTCACGAAGTGTCCGCAGCTACTAGGGCTGGAGATGGTGTGGAAGGGAGGGGTCGGATTCTGCACCCTGCCTGAAGCTATATACTTGTACCGCATTACTTTTTCCATTGTTTATTCAGAAGTTCGGTGCCAGAAAGTAAGTCGTCATTCGGTTCGTTCAGAGTCGTTCAGGTTCTTTAGCTGCATTATCATTACAGGGCCTGACGGACCGCTTTTTATATTTCACACTGTGAATGTTTGATCGGTGGAACGCGCCAGGCCGTAGCGAAACGGTCACTTGTTGGTGATCGGAGCTACGGCGAGCCCAGAGCGTAGCGGAGGAATGGCCGTCCACGCTGGGCCGCCCTGCCGGCCCCCGGTGCTGCTGCTGCTGCTGCTGCTACTGCTGCGGCAGCCTCGACCGACCCATGGCGCCAGAGTCTCCACTGCCAGCGCGTCCGCCCTGCCGGTCAGTATTACAGTCACTAGTCAGTATGTACTAACTCTGTCCACACACGTCGCGTTCGCCAGATGTGAAGATGTGAAGCGCGGAGGATGTGAAGCGCGTGGTGCGCCATTTGCGTTAGCGGGCCGAAATCTGTGTCCGTGTGTCCGAAAGCGAGGTGACACAGTTCAAAATCCATGAACGGTACCTAAATGCAAGTCATGTGAACATAATTTCCCATGATTTTTTATTTCATTCGGGTATTGACAATAGCTTTGTGATGCATATCACTTGATAAATGTCTGTTTTAAAAAATAACATTCATTGTGAAAGACCCTGTAGAAGGAGTAGAAGGAGCCTTTTACGTTATAACGAGCGGGCGAGCGAGGCGAAGTCTTTTCTATACAACAGAAAAATATAAGTATGTGTGCCCGGCCTCGCATTGCCTGCAACGCTTTTGAGAGGCTTATACATGTTACAGGGAGTTTGAGAAATCCGTGAGTTTGCAAACTCCCTAGGGAGTTTGCAAACTCCCTGACCCATCAGTGAGTTTGCAAACTCACTAGAGAGTTTACAAATTCACTAGGGAGTTTGCAAAGTCACTGACCGGTCAGGGAGTTTGAGAAAATCCAGTGCGATTGGGCCAAATAAAATCAAGTGTGTAAGATGAGGGTGGCTTACGTGCCGTCCGTGATGTTAAAACAAAGGCGAGTAGTGGTACGGCCTATATAACCGTCGCACGCTGTCCGCTGACAAAAAGCTTAGAGATCCTTAATTGTTTTACCGGAAAAAAATGCTACTCGCGGCTATGTTAAGGGGAGGTTCGGAGCAACGTGCTCCTCCGTTCCGTCGTTTCCATGGATGGAAACGTATCCTGAGTATCCTGTATCCTGTAGTATCCTGATTCCTGAGGATCCTCAGGAATCAGGATACTGAAAACCTTCTCCTCCACGCCGAAACCCCCACTCCGGGCTGGACAGGCACCTTTATCTCATGCGGGCTGCTCCCTTGGAGCGACACCGCTGCTCCCGAGGGAGCGCACCCCGTAGCTGGGTGCAGAGAATGTTTGGGGGGCTGGTCGGCATGTCCATTCGGACGGGCTCAGCCCCGGCGACTCTGTAGGGTGTCTGCCCAGACCAATGTCTCCCCCTAATTCCTATCATTCGTCCGGCTCTGAAATGGTCTTGTCAGACCGAAAAGGCCTATAACCCAACAAAACAAAAACAAACAAGCAGCGTGTGCCAGTCGCAGCTGGGCTGGCTGCCAGCAGCGCCGGCTCTCGATGACACGTCTATGGTGGAGAGGGAATGGACGTGAATTGGTGCGTGTGCCTGTACTTTAGCATAAGTGACCGACAGTGAGCTGTTTCTACTTTGATATATTGAGCCTGACTTTGGAATAGCCACACTTGAGTGGAACGGATCTAATTGGGACGAGAACTAAATAAATGTATGACTAAATAAAGCGGCGGTACATGCATGGATAGATCACTGAGCAGTTTAAAATAAAAAAGTATTAATGGTGTGCATATGATTTTTGTCAGCGTGCGAGGTCCTACAACTAACCGCCTTTGTTTTAACATCACGGACGGCACGTATGACACCCACAACTGTCCCACATGCTGCACACTTATTTTTATTTGGCCCAATCGCTCTGGAATTTCTCAAACTCCCTGACCGGTCAGTGAGTTTGCAAACTCCCTAGTGAATTTGCAAACTCCCTAGTGAGTTTGCAAACTCACTGATGGGTCAGGGAGTTTGCAAACTCACTAGGGAGTTTGCAAACTCACGGATTTCTCAAACTCCCCATGTAACATACATACATATCTCAGCAGCGGCTGGGCCATTTGAACTGCGGTTGTTTTATGGGTAGCCCCATCCTTTTGCAGCATGATCATAATAACAGACAATTGACTTGTGCGGACAGCTGATCAGCACTCGTGGTGGCTCAGACGGCTAATGAGCATGTCGGGTCCGCTGTTTGCCGGCAGCGGGTGGGTGCCAGCAGCTGGCGGCCGCCGCTGAGGCCACTGGCAGAGAGCCAGCCGCCCACGAGCGCACCGACAGCAGGCCAGTCGCCCAAAGAAGCATCGCCAGCGCAGACGTCGCCGTCACCAGTCGCCAGAAACATGACTCCACGGCAGACAAGAGTTTTTCCGTTGTTTGAATATCTTACTCCTAATGGGCGCTTTATTCCAGGTCTTGCCAAAAATAGTCATTGTTGTGGGAAGGAAAACATGTTTGAAATCTTCGTCGGTGCAAGGATAGTCGGTGGCGAAGTGACTACTCCCTTCCAATATCCATGGATGGTGAGTCTTTTATATGGAGCCTTAACCCTCGCCGGCCGAGGGGGGGGGGGCGGGTGCCGCCCCCTCCATAGGGTTTTTTTTTCGCAATAGCTCCAAACACGCTGGCGATAGAGAGCTGAAACTTGATATACCTGACCTTTAATTCAAGCCGGATCTTTTGACACCAACCGCATTTTTGGGTCAGGTCAGGTCACTGACCTATGACGTCGTAAGTTAACCTCTGCACGGTCTTCAGATGTCGCAAGTTCGCAACGCCCTCACTGCCAGAGGAGATGTCACAGGGAAATGAAACTTGCAGGATCTAGTATCCATTATGAGTCTCACAACTTGTATATCTCGGATTTTCCTAAAGGTCATATGAGGTCAGGTCATTTTCGTGACCTCACCATTATAAGTCAATGGGGAAAAATGAAAACTGCTATTTTAACCCTATTCCTGGCGGGGGGGGGGGGGCCTCAGGAGCCCCCCCTGAGGTTTTTTGGTTATTTCTCCAAAACGCTTTGATCTAGGAAGCTCAAATTTTCTGACTTTTCCTAAAAGGCTTTTACGCAACATTTCTCAAAATTTTGAGTTGATCTGACCTCAGGTCAGGTCACCAGAGGCGGTTTGGTGACCCTACCTCAGCAAAGTTTGCAATCACGCCAGAGCTAGAGTTTTTGACCGATCAATTTCTTCTCTTCAGGCTTTAGTTAGGGTACCAGTATGTGCAATTTGTATATCTCATGTTTGGCATCGCCTCGGCGAGAGCAACAAAAAATGTATTGGTTTTATGTCTCTATGTTTCTTAGTTTAAAAGTTATATACAACTAATTCCGAAAAGTTATATAGGTAACTAATTCCAAAACATTTTATCGTTGATGACCTCTGGTGACCTCAATATTGACCTGACCTGAAAATGTTTTATGTAAAAGTTGTAGGTCTTTAAACGACCTATCAAACGCCGTTCGCCGTTTGTCGCTGCGATGTGTAGTTTTTGAGATCTGAAGGGGGGGGGGCCGAATCGGCCCCCCCGCCAGTTTCTTGTCCCGGCGGAGCCCGCCAGGAATAGGGTTAACGCCGGGAACGATCTCCAACTATCTCAAGCACACAGAATCGTGATTTGATGCAATCTTTGCATGGTTAGATGCGTCACTTTTGCAATGTTGACCTTGCGTGACGTCATTTATGACGTCATCAAAGTCATATTAGTTTTTCGTCAATAACTCCCGATCAAATTGAGCTAGCTAGTCGGGAAAGCCACCAATGGACTCAGGAAGACCTCCTGCCGAATCGAATGATATGCGACATGGCCTCTTTCGACCAACTTCGTGACCTGGGGGTGCTGACCTGAACTTGACCTGAACACCCTAAGTTGACCTGACCCGAACAAAAAGTGTATCATTCGACGCGCCTAATCGAGGCGAACACGATGCTGCCAAAATCGCGGCTCTGTGGCCATTTTTGCGAAGTTATGCACCAAACACTGAACCGTACCTTGGGGCACTTGACCTGACCTCAGAGGTCACCGGTTGACCTAAGACCTTGAAATCGGGTACCAATCTCTGTGTCTCGTAACGGTGCACACTCTCGTTTTTTTCCGCGACGCGCTAGCTCCACCAGGGGCGAAACGGCGAGGGGGGGGGGGTCGTACCCGCCCCCCCTCGGCCGGCGCGTATGCAGAAAACCAATAGGTCCGGCGAGGGTTAAAGGGACCCTCCCACCTTCAAAAAGTTAATGAATTGGGATGAAAGTGATGTCGCTCGTTTCAGAAAGAGCGACAACGAATATCTACCAAATTTCACCGAAAAATCTTCACCGGTTTTCAAGATATTAGACTTTTACTTTTGATTACTTCTTGGGATCTCCGCTGTTCCTAGCGACTTTATTTGGAAGCAATATCTTCGCAGCTGGAAGTGCGGCACTTGTAACGCGCAAAGCAGCATAGGTATACCACCGCGTGCTAGCAAACGTTTTAGTAAAATATTTACAATTGTTAGACCTGCGCTGACGTCACACATTCAGAGGGGGCATTCAAATGCATTAGCTGCTCTGAAGTGCTGCAACTTTGAAATTATATTTTTCGATTTGAGGGATTTCTCGATGTTGCGAGTGCTCCAGTCGGTAGGGGAGAGTAGGGAAAGATGCCCAGGGGTTTGTTATGTCATATATGTATTGTTCAAAAATGACCATCGGAAAGCAAAAACTTGTAGTTTCAACAGAAGCCGACATCATTTTTATCCATAAAATATCACTCTTTCATGCTTGAAATATGATATTTTTTGCTATAAAGCATTTTCTCGAAGAACTGAAGGGGGCCTCTTACCCCAAAGGGTGGGAAAGACGCCCCCTGGTGTTGGGTAAGATGCTCCCTGCACTATAAGTGACATGAATGGGCACGTGAATTGCCTGAACAAATCAGTAGTCCCTTCGAGCCTACAGTAAACACTAAACGCCATCGTCAGGGCCCTCAAAAGTAGTCGTGAGGGGCTTCAGAGGTCATCGTTAGGGCCACCAGAGTCCAGCGCGACCAAACAAGCCTCCGTGGTGGCATTCGGAGAACGTTGTGGGGCCCTTATAGGTCTTCATGAGTCTTGAGGGCCCTCAAGCCCATCGTGGGGACCTAAGATGCCAGCGCGGCGTGGAGCCAGCGTGGGAGCCCTCAAAGGATGTCGTGAGGGGCCTTGAAGTTAATAATGGGGCCCACAGAGGCCGTCTCTAGGGCTCTCAGAGTCAGATGCCGCCCCAAAAAGTCGCTGTGTGGGCCGAGAGACCGGCATGGGGAGCAGCCGACCGTATTGGGCTCTCAATAGTCCCAGATCGACTTTTGTCTCTCATCACAAGTATGCACTAAATGATTCGACGGGTTGCTTGAAGGACAGCGTACGGATTTAGGGGGGCGTCTTTCCCCATCAGGGCAGGGGGCATCTTGGCACCAGTGCTGCGGCGGCACGACGTGCAGATCGGCATGTACGCAGACGACCTGATCATCTACGCCAGTGACAGCAGCGTCCCCACAGCCCAGGCCAAGGTGCAGGCGGCAATGGACGAAGTAGAGGAATGGGCCAACGCCTGGAACATGACAATCAGCGCCACCAAAACCAAGACAGTCTTATTCACCTCCAACGTACACGAAGTAAACTCAAAGAAAAAGGTGGACATCTGTCTGGGGGACACGACCATACAGCAAACCAGCGAAGTCACAGTGCTGGGAGTCGTCTTCGATACCTGTCTTTCACCCAACATGTACAGCAGCTGAAGGGCAAACTGGCAAAGCGACTGCAAGTCACCAAGGCCCTGGCGGGAACCACGTGGGGTTGCAGCTCAGTAACCCTGCGAAGGATGTACTGCCAGTTCATCCAACCCGTAGCGCTGTATGGAAGCGCGGCGTACATGTCGCTGAGCCGGAAGACGAACAGGGAGAAGATGGACCAGGTCGCGGCCGCCGGAGCCCGAATCATCACGGGCTGCCCCGCCGGCACGAGGACGAGGGTGGTGATGGCGGAGGCCAACAGCCGGAGCATCTCCTCTCTGGCTGAGGAACAAGGCGCGATCCTGCGAGAGAGGGTCATCCGCCTCCCTGACAGCGTCCCGGCCCGACAGACGGTCACCAGGAAGATGAGGAAGCGGCTCGTGAACCGGCAGACCTGGCGCGAAGAACCGACCAAGATCGCGAAGGAAGCGCTGCTCGAGGAGACGGAGAGGGAGGCCATGTCCCTGCCACCGCGCCCCCCGTGGCTGTCGATGGGGAAAGGAAGGATCAGCTTCCACACGGAATCTGGTGACACCACCTCCAGGCACGACCCACCGGAAAGAAGGCGAGCGGCAGCGGAGCGCGTCCTGGAATCCCTGCCGCCCACGGACTCAACTTACTACACCGACGGTTCCACGGAGAAGGGGTTTGGAGTTGGCGGAGGAGGGGTCGTCCGCATCGAGCAAGGCCGAGGCAACGCGACCTGGAGCGTACCGGCCGGCAGGTGGTCAAGCTCGTACCGGGCCGAGCAAGTGGCTTTCCTGGCAGCTGTGAGGGACGCAGCGGGAGCCTCAAAGGAAGTCAAGACGACCCGCCTGTGCACCGACTCACTCTCACTGGTAACCTTCCTCAAACATGGTACCAGAGGGCCCGCCCCAGAAACCCTTACCGAGATATGGACAGGCCTGAACCATCTCAGTCGCAGAAAAGTGAACGTACAAATCGTCTGGATCCCTGGCCACGCAGACATCGCGGGAAATGAGCAGGCGGACCAGGCAGCAAACACCGGAAGGACCCTCCCTCAAGAAACGGCCAAGATCGACCTCCCGTCGGCGAAAGTGGCCATCCGTGGTGTGTGCTGGAAGAAATGGTCTGGCACGTACCACACCACCGTGCCCCCGGAGCACACACACCGGAGAGCGACGGACGGGCGCTGCCTGAAGTATGAGAGTGAATGGGCCAGACGGGACCAGGTTCTGCTCCATCAGCTGCGAGCGAACCGCTGTCCAATGCTCCAAGCCACACTAGCCAGATGGAACAGGCCGGACACCGACGGCCTGTGTCCCGAGTGTGGCGTGCCGGAGGACACGGAACACGTGGTCTGTGAATCAGTGTTCGCCACGGGCCCCAAAATCCCCAGCCCAGCCCGGCCCGGGCCCATGGGTTCAGAGCCCGGCCCAGCCCGTAGCCCGCTCTGGTAAATATGTCCAAGCCCAGCCCGGCCCGGCCCAGCAAAAATAGCAATCTAGTTATTGTCTTAGTCTATTGCTATAATAAGCATGATTGATTAACACTATTTTGAGAACAATTCAGATTGCATGAATATTAACATGGCAATCATGACTCCCTTCTTTTCAATGAATATAATCATTTCAAGTACCTATGGCACAAATTTTAACAGTAACAGCAAGCACCTCAGTCTAGGTCATGATTACACACCTATAAAAAGTTTACATGATTATATCAACTACATTCTATGAGTGAAGTCATCTTGCAAGCTGATGTGTGTGAACATTATCATGCATAATTGGTGACTCTAATGCATACTTGAAGGAAGTATTTGCAACTTACTCTATACTTCCCAGCACTTACCAGCAGAAAAAAAGCTTGACTTATGGGAATTGATGAATCTGTCTGGGATTGACCTTGCTGTTAAATTGACTCCATTGATGCTGCAATATCGAAAGCCTGAGAAAACATACAAAATAGGTGACACTAGCTTTAGCACTGTCTTCCAAAAAAGAGAAAATATATCCATTTATCAGCAAAACTGATTTAATCTATTTTCAATTCATGCCCACGTGTCAACCGAATCTCTGTGGACAACTATCTGCTGCTTTCCTTGCTATTTTATGTTAGGCTCTTTTCAAGATATGGATATCACTAGCAGCGTAAGCAGAAAACATGGTAAGCTTGAAATGTCATTGGGTACTTTTGCGACTTTTACGCATCATCATCGTCAATTGAAAATAAGCGAACACTTCTTGATTGTCGCAGCTGCGGCAGGTAACGATTCTGACCAATTGTATATTAAACATATATGATCAAGTTTTTATTTTGTTTTACGTTCGAGTTTTCAGACTTCGTGATTAAGGTTTTATTTTTTATTGGTTTTATTTTGTTTTTCAATTTGATACTTACTTAAAAAACGTATTTATTTGCTATACTGTTGTGTATACTACCTAGATGCCGCCACATAAACATAGCGCCATGATCGCAAATTTTGTTGAGAAGGGGCTGGTTTGTTGTTGTGATTTATTTTGACAAATTTACGGACATTTAAAGAAGCTTTCATCGCGAAATACTCTGTAGAATTCCTCGTTACTTACAGTGTGTTTCGTGAGTATCCTTTTAAGGTTCTGTTCGTTAAAAAGCCGTCGGTGAAGGAAAAAAGACTGTGTTGGAATTCTCTCACTATCGCCATATATAAGTGTTAAACTTAATGTAGCCCTGTAGCCCATCATTGTTGAGTGGCTTCTTAGTTTTTGGAGTTGTAGTGCTAAGTAAGTTATTCTGATAACTACATTTTAACTTTAATTAACAAACTAATGATGCTAGAGATTCTCTGATCTTTTTGGTTGCGGAATTTTTATGAAGACCCTCCTATGTGTGACATGATGTGAATTGGATAATTCTCAAGATTCCCAAAATTCAATATCAAGTAGGTATTCTTTCACATTGCTTAAATTTGGTTTAGTTTTAGTATTTTCCCAGTGGGTTTTGTTTGCATCAGCTTCCAAATTTTCTTAAATTGACATTAGTCGAAAAACCCATAGTCCACAAAGCTCCTGGCCCGGCCCGTCCATAGCCCGTTAACTAATGATATTTGGGGGCCCGGCCCAGCCCGTAGCCCAGCCCGGCCCATGGCCCGTTGGGCTGGCCCGGCCCGTGGCGAACACTGCTGTGAATGCCCGAAATACCAGGCGGCGCGGTCTGCGCTCCTCGGCCACACCCCGACACTGACGGTGCTACAAGAGGACCCGGACGCGGTGCTGAGGTTCTTCAGGAGGACTGGCCTCCTACCGGAGGCTCGATGATCGGCCCGCCGGAATCGCCGGACAACAGAAGAAGAAGGGGGCATCTTTCCCCAAGGTACCGAATTAACATTTAATTAGTACAATTTGTTAGCCCTAAAACTACATCCTAAAACAAACTGGTTGGGACAAAGTACACACATATTAACCCTATTAGTGGCAGGCTCCTGGCTACCCCTATTAGTGGCGGGGGGGGGGGGGGCTGTTTACGACCCCCCCTTGATATCTCGAGATCTAACGGGCCGATTTTCAAAATTCAAACGGCATTCGATTTCGCTCAACGTGATCTACATTTCTAAAAAATAAAAATTAAAAAATGTCAATAGGGGGGGGGGGGTAGAGGGGGGTAAAACGGGCAAATTGCAGATACATTTTAGACTGTTTATCACGGCCAGGTTTCTGAACCAATCTTAACGCAACTTTTGCCGATCGATAGAGAATGAACCAGGAATTCACATGGATCCTAAAAATATGCATTTTCAAAAATCATAGGCGGATACAGATCATTGAGATTGGGGGTACACAAAAAGTATAGTAAATAAGGTTTTTGTTGGTACTGTTTCTAAAAAGGGTGGTAATGGTCTTGTTATGTTACAATTTTCTATTGAGAGAACGACTACAATTGTATTGGTCATGCATAGGCGGTGTCAGGGCACCTATGTTGGGAGGTAAAACATAACCCCCCTTTTTGGACGCCTGGATCCGCCTATTATAGCAAAAACGTGTCAAAAGAGGATGCACAATAACTTTGTATATGTTATCACATGATACCTTTCATTCACTGTTCGTAAAACTGGTGCAGCATCGTGATCTTCGCCCAAATGACTCGCTTCACGAATAGGACCCCCAATTCCCAGTGCTCTGGAGCCGCCCCTGGTAAAGTTATGAACTTGAAATTTTCAGGGAATGTGCCCAATTTAGTTTTAGGAAAAGTCAGAAAATTTCAGCATCGTAGCTTCAGCGGTTTCGGAGATATTCCCGAAAAACCTGAGGGGTGGATAAAAACAACCCCCCTGCCACTAATAGGGTTAATGTATCACGACAATAACAAGGGACATAAAAATTATTTACCTTTTTTGATATTTACATTGTTTTGACACCAAAATATTTTTTGGAAGCAGCAAATAAAAAACATGCAATCACCAGCCAACCGTTGTCCGACTGACATTGGCAAATTTTGGTGCAGTAAACAATTGGCAGGCTTCCGCTTTACGCCAAAAACGTTAATTTCCAGGTTCGATTCTTTGTTTTCCCGCTAAGGGGGGTGGGGCGTCTTTCCCACCCTGGGCATCTTACCCTCTCTCCCCTAAGTGTAAGCTGCAGGGACCCCATTTTGGTCTCAACTCAAAACTAATGTTAAGGTGGGATGGTCACTTTACAGGGCGCACGGCACACTTTTTTCGTTTTTTTTTTTGTTTCATTAAAGTGACCATCCCACCTTAACATTAGTTTTGAGTTGAGATAGCCAAATTGGTGCCATGGCCTGAAAATACCGGTTTGGTTCGGGCACTCACAACATCGAAGAATGATTTACCTAATTCGGAGATATGGAATTTCAAACTTGCAGTTCTCAGATTCTAAGGGACTAATGCATTGGAATGCTCCCTTAGAATTTGTGACGCCAGCGGAGATCTAACGATTTTTAAATCTTCGACTAAAACCATCGTTAACACGTGGTGGTATACACTGCTTTGCGCGCAACGTCTGCCGCACTTGAGGCTGCCAAATTATTGCTTCCAAATAAGTCGCTAGGAACAGCGGATATCCCAGAAAGTAAACAAAAGTAAAAGCCCAATCTCTTGAGAACCAGTGAATATTTTTCGGTGAAATTTTGGTAGATATTCATTTTGGATCTTTCCGAGCCAAGGTACATCACTTTTATGCCAATTCATTAACTTTTTTGAATGTGGAGGGTCCCTTTAAAGTCGATCAGATTCAGATCCCTCAGACACTTGCCTTAGCTTCCAAATTCAAACTGAGCTTTTAACCCTCGCCCCACTGGGGCTCCTGGATATTTTCCCGCCCTGCTGGGCGGAGGGTGCTTGGCCCCCCCCCCTCCAAAACAGCTGCTGGGCCACCAGCGACACGCAGTATGCGGCGTTCGAAAGAGCGTCAGAAATAATGACGAAACTACTTCAGTCACTTTTTAGGCTGGAGATCACGTCACCAGAGGTCATCGAAGGTCATCTAAGGTCAACTTTTGCTTATTTCAACAGTTCGAAGCTCAGGAAGGGATAAATCTACAGCGCCACCGGAAAGGATCATGAAATCACTAATTTTTGTACGATACATTTCCACACCGGCCCCACCCACCCTCCAAATTTCGGCTTTTTGGAGTCAACAGAAGCCGAGATCTTAGAGGGGGCGACATTCGCCTCCTTCTGAACTGGACGTAGTTTTCGGAGCCCTTCCTTGCGCATGCTAATACTACGCACTGCTACTATCAATGACCAACTGTTTCTTATATCTGCGCCAACTTAGAACCGACAGGGGAGGGGAATGTTGACCGCCCCCCCCCCCTGAGATCTCGAGAACAAAGCAAGATAGAGACAAGGGGTAAACGGCATGGGGTACGCACGGACAAGGTCTACAATTTTTACACAGGTCATTTTCAGGTCAGGTCAAAGATGACGTCAAAGGGGTCAAAAAAAGTCAAAATGGCGGCGCTAGATATCAGGAGAGTTTTCTCGAATAACTTTCGAAGTAGTCAAGTTAGGAACAAACTAATGGCACCATCGTGATCCTCTCGTTAATCCGCATTGTATCATATATGTGTTGACCTCGAAAAGCCAAGGTCAAAGGTTGACCTCAGGTCACGTGACCTCAAGGTCATCATGTATATCATTCGATGCGCCTTGACAAGCTGAACACGATGAGACCATCCGCGCGGCTGAATCTTGGTCCTGTGAGGAGTTATTAGCAAAAGACATTTGTGACCCTTGATGACGTCACATGAACTTACAGTTGCCCAAGAGCAAAAAAGTCTCAAAGTAGTCAAGGTTGATCGTGTATGAAGTTATTCATGGCATATTGGGCCATTCCGACGCGCTTTAGTGGAAAAATGAAGTTGATTTCCCCCCATTGACTTATAATGGAGAGGTAAAGAAATTGACCTGACCTTAGGTCATCGATATCAAAATTCCGAGACATACAAATTGTAGCTACTAAGGACCTCGTTACATCCAGCGACTTTCAAAGGCCTCCGTCATCTTCTGTAGCTCTGACCGGGTGAAAAAAGTTGCAAAAAAAGTGATTTGAGGTTGGGTCATTCGAAGTGACCTGGTGACCTGACCTTCAAAGGTAGGAGGCTCAAACTTGCACACCATGTGTAAAATTGATGAGGGAAAAGTCATGCCCCGCGGTTTTTGCGCTGTTCACGAAAAACCTCGGGGGGGGGGGGTCAACCGCCCCCCCGTCGGTGCGCGGGAGCATGCAAAAGGATTTGCAAAATGAACCCGCGCCCCACTGGGGTCTGCGTATAACACGCCCTACTGGGGGGGGGGGGGGGGGCTCTTCATAGCCCCCCCTCTTAACTCCGAAACTACTGGGCCGATCGTCAAAATTCAAACGGCGTCTGGTCTGATAGCCCCGGAAAAACTGTCGAGCGAAACCTAATTTCATTGACCTCAAGGTCACCGATGACGTTACAGGTCAGGTCAAAGTAAAAATTATTAGCATTTTGGCTTGTTCACGTTTTGGGCTCTGGCCGCCGTCTTACAAGTCAGATCAGGCTCATTTTTGGTTCACGCACTCGTGAACAGATGTTCTAGATACCCTGAGGGTACCAAACTTGTACTTTGATTTTCAGGTCAAGGTCAGGTCATCACAGGTCACAAAAATATTATATCATTCGTCGGTCACGTGACACATGTTTTATGGTCCATTTAGGCCAAAGATTTCGAATTTGATGTCGTCTGTGTCATTCGAGGTCATTTTGAGTCGAATTTAGCTAAGTTCATGTCACTTCAGGTCAAAAAAGGTCAAATTTTGAAGGTAAAGTTTTTCAACAAAAACTGTGTCTGTTGGATGCAGTTTGAGCTCAGGAACACGATGGTGCTATTTGTATTGGCGTACGGTGTCAAATACATGCTGAAAATTGATTTGAATAATTAATAATTGTGAATTTTTTGCAATAATGCGTAAAACTTGACCATTTTTTAAGATATTTAGCTAAAACTTGCTTAAGTTAGTCATAACAATGCGTTCTATCACATATATTCCGATTTTCTCGAAAAGTCAAAAACTTTTTGAAAAAAATGTAAAAATATAAATTTTGAATTTCATTTTTTTTCAAAATTTTCAAAATTTCGAAAATCCGAGATAGCAGTTTGATAGCGCAGTCTATTTTGAGTCCTCTCATGCAAAGATATTGGATCTAGCTTAAAAACTGAGCTCTTGGGAGCGATTGCCGTGGTTCAATGTTTTGCGTCGAAATCGGCCGAACATGACGTCACTCTGACGTCATTTCCCGCCGACCTATGGTAGCTACGAAGTTCATATTTTGACACAAGGTGTCAAATTGATGCAGCCGAAGCACTGCACTCTATTATGTGGAAGGCGCATCGGCCGCCAGATGGTGTCCAACGGTGCCGCCATGTTGCGCAGACCAGGAAGCGACCGCCGCCTGTGTTGGGGAATAGGGAATTCGGGACCTCGATTTACGTTTGCGGCCGCTGCATCCGTTACGTTCAAGTTATGTAGTCACGGAACCCGGCATCTTATGCAGAATTGAGTGGAGAACAAGGTGCAGGGTTGTATACGACTCAATCAATAGCAATCAATTCAATCACGACAAAGTTGGGAAACCAATCAAATCAATCAAGTCAGAGCAGTTTTCGGAAATTGATTCAATCGACTCAAACGCGACAATGAAAGGAATCAATCAACTCAATCAAACGACTCAAACCAAAACATACATTAGGTTTTTTGCCCCACCAACTTGGAAAAGTGTCCATAGCAGTCTGGTGTACCTACCTACCTAGTAGGTACCTACCTACCTACCTACAGAAGAAACATAAAAATATTGTCATTTAAAATTATAAATTGCCATGCCATCCAAAGTTTCTATGCAATAAGGATGGATACCTAGTGATGGACAGGTGGATCATGATATTGCGATAGGCGTTATCACAAGTGTATTCGCGGTCATTGGGGCGACGTAAGAAAAGAAGAAAACAACTGGCCCCAAGAACTTTAAATTATCAGTTAGCATGCACCTTTTCCTTGATCTGTAGAGAATTTACCATTAATTGCTAGATAAAATTGCATTTAAAATCTTCCATTTATGTTTTTCATCGTTTGCACAATATGTTCTTTTACTAAGCTAGAAACACTAATTAGAAATAGTTCCCGCATCATCGTCAAGAACAATAGGGAAGGCTTGAAGTGAATACAATAATCTAAACGGTTTTGTAATCTATGTGAAGACACTTCTAAAATTGCCTGTAGAAATATTGAAGGCAAAAGTTCAACTTTTTCACAAGACGGATGTCTATAAACCTATTCAACGTGTGTCAACTCAGCCGGTATTTCGTCGCCTACAGCCCAGCGTTCCCTAGTGACCGATAGAGGCGCTGCTATCGATGTCCGCCCGTGCCGCCTAACGGAGGTTCAATGGGTAGAATTGGAGCAGAGTTTCATTTAATGGGTGCAAAATAACCCAGTAGTTGACTCGCCCCTTAACCCACGAGCCGCTGGGGGGCATAAAGTTGCCCCCCCTTTACGTTTTGTAAAATATCTCCGAAACCTGATGAGCTACGAACGTGAAACTTGGCATAGCTTCAAATGAATACCTAGGCAATGTTGAAGGAAAGTTTATTGGTTTTAGCACCTAAGATGACGTCACAGTGACGTCATAAAGTTTTGTCGTTTTCCGATATGGACCGTTTCTGATGACGCTAAGCATGAAACTCATCTGTAAATGAACTAGACAGCACCTGCTGTCATCCTAAAACATCTAACTACACTTCCATCTAGTTTCTGACGAATAATCGGCCCTTTATATTCGGTCCCATATATCTGATGTATCGTGAGGAATATGAGAATCGCAAATCTATAATTTCACTTATGACGTCACTGTGACGTCATTTCAAATGGGATCAACACCAAATTTAAACACAACCTCGGCTAGGTATTCAGGAAGATGTGTGCAAAGTTTCGCTTCTCTATCTCTTCGCGTTGCGACGATATCGTCGCAGAAGTAATGGGGGGGGGCAACTATATGCCCCCCCCCCCAGCGGCCGGCGGGTGGCGCGGAGGCCCAGCGGCCGCCGGGTTAACCCAAATCACCACCTTTCACCTAAAAGTTGTCAATTTAATTTTGGCCATATTCCAACTCCATTTAC